ATGGATTGATAGTTAAACCACTCTGGCAATGCTAGTCCTATGAGGGGAGCAGGGATCTCCCAATGATGGCAAACTGTGGCTCCCAAGATTCTTCGGTAGAAGGCATGACTGTTTAAAGTGGTATGATACAGTGCAGGTGGGCAACTGAATTTTAGGAATGGAGATTCATTTCAAACAACTACCTGCGGAAATGCATGTTTTACACAGAAATTGTGGCAAAAATGCTTATTATGGGAACATGTACAAAATCATACAAAAATGAGTATTTTAGGGTAAGGTGCATACAGTTGAAATGAATGTTTATATATACACAAAGTGGGATTGATTGATTGAGTGATTGGATGGAATAGTTTATGAGTGAACATATCTGAGATTAACATTTCCTGCTTTTTTTTTGCTCTTTGTACAGAGATTTGCATAAAGAGTTAATCTTCCCACTGTAATGGTTTCATTTGGAGCATACATCTATGGAAAGCTGTCTGGTTTTCATAAACTCGAATTGGATAATTAATTTATTTCGACAGCAGTCTTTCACAGTAACTTCAGTATCCTGGATTCCTAAAGAGGTTTGCTAGCAGCAGGTTTTAATTTAAGTACTATTACTGTGTGAAATGTTGCCTCCTTGGCCACACCCATCTAATAGCACGATTACTTAGATCAGGAGTGAGGAATTGGATCCATCCTTAATCCCCCTGTCCACGCAGGCCAACTTTAGCAGGTGGGTGTGGCTGCTGCCATGAAGCTACAGGGGCTATCACTCAGGGTTAGATCATTTGCTTTCCATGCAGAACATCCTGAGTTCAGTTCTGGGGAAACAGTCCTGTCTGCAAACCTGGAAAACCAGGCCATGAGGACAATACTGAGCTTGATGGACCAAGGGCATGACTCAGTATAACACAGCTTCTTTTGTTCAAAAAGCCTTGCTGTTGGTGCCAAGCAACCAATCAGCAGTTACAGAACAGTTGTTAAAGTTTGTTGGGTCGTATATCTTTTGACCCACTGAGTCTGCTGCAACGGCCCTGCAATAAATTTGATTTATTGCCACTCCGACAAACTTCCAATGGCGCCCACATGCTTCCACTCCACGCACTGCCACTCTCCTCAGCTGCCGGATAATTGCAGAGTTCACACGCAGCATAAAATGGCTTGTCTGTGTCGACATGGTGTCCTCAATAATTCAGCTGGACACCAGTGCTTCTCATCTAAAACTCTTTATTTAGACGCATTCAAAACAGAAAAGAAAACCTGCAGAATCTAGCTGCATGTTCGCAGCTCTCTGCTTCTTAACAAAAACCGAAACGACCTTGCTGTGGATGCAACTGGTTTTCATTGACTGTGCTGATGAGCTGATCAGCATTGGCTGCAAACTTCACTTGGCTGCAGTAGTAAGTGCCCAGGAGCTTGCTATTGACACCTGTCATCTGGTTGGTGCTGTCAGAGAGCCCTGCTTTTGAAGCAAGTGAAGACTCCTGATTATTCCTTGGCAGCCATGTCTTTCCCTGTGCCACCTCTGATATCACATATGAAGGCAGGTGTGGGTGTGACTTAGAGATAATAATAATAATAATAATAATAATAATAATGGACGCGGGTGGCGCTGTGGGTAAAACCTCAGCGCCTAGGACTTGCCAATCGCATGGTCGGCGGTTCGAATCCCCGCGGCGGAGTGAGCTCCCGTCGTTCGGTCCCAGCTCCTGCCCACCTAGCAGTTCAAAAGCACCCTTAAGTGCAAGTAGATAAATAGGTACCACTTTATAGCGGGAAGGTAAACGGCGTTTCCGTGTGCTGCTCTGGTGCCGGTTCGCCAGAGCAGCTTCGACATGCTGGCCACGTGACCCGGAAGTGTCTGCGGACAGTGCTGGCTCCCGGCCTCTAGAGTGAGATGAGCGCACAACCCTAGAGTTTGTCAAGACTGGCCCGTACGGGCAGGGGTACCTTTACCTTTACTACTACTACTACTACTACTACTAATAATAATAATAATAATTCATACCCCACCCATCTGGCTGGGTTTCCCCAGCCACTCTGGGCGGCTTCCAGCAGAATATTAAAATACAATGATTCATCAAATATTAAAAGCTTCCCTAAATAGGGCCGCCTTCAGATGTCTTCTAAAAGTCAGTTGTTTATTTCTTTGACATCTGATGGGAGGGCGTTCCACAGGGTGGGCACCACTACCGAGAAGGCCCTCTGCCTGGTTCCCTGTAATCTCACTTCTCTCAGTGAGGGAACCGCCAGAAGGCCCTCGGCGCTGGATCTCGGTGTCCGGGCTGAACGATGGGGGTGGAAATGCTCCTTCAGGTATACTGGGCCGAGGCCATTTAGGACTTTAAAGGTCATACCAACACTTTGAATTGTGCCTGGAAATGTACTGGGAGCCAATGTAGGTCTTTCAGAACCGGTGTTATGTGGTATCGGCAGCCACTCCCAGTCACCATTCTAGCTGCCATATTCTGGATTAATTGTAGTTTCCCAGTCACCTTCAGGTAGCCCCACGTAGAGCACATTGCAGTAGTCCAAGCGGGAGATAACTAGAGCATGCACCACTCTGGCGAGACAGTCCGTGGGCAGGTAGGGTCTCAGCCTGCGTAACAGATGGAGCTGGTAGACAGCTGCCGTTCCCCACAGGCCAAACTGGGACCTATACCACATCCAACCCATACATCCGGGGGGAATTTCCCAAAGGCGGTGCTTTGTCCTGGATGTTAGGCAAGTCAATCAAAAAATCACAGGTTTGGGGTGTCCTTGCTTTTACTTTTTGAAATATGGCAACACTAATATAATGTTAGGTGGCTGACTGTGGCTAGGGCAATATCTGAAGAGCCCTTTCTGTTGTAGGCAGTTGTGCTGACACAGGAAACATGCGCTACAGTCTCAGGAATCAACCATCTCCATTTGCTGAATGTGCCGGATAGGTGAAAGGCTCATAGTCATAATTAACCAACTAAAGTTCTATTGCCTTATGGTGAGAACCAGAGAGGGCATCAACTAACTAATGTGTTCATTGAGAAATTGAGTCTTTTTGTGACATCCTGGAGTAATAAGATACAGGATAATGTAAGCCCATTTGTGTCTGTTAGAACGTTGTGACAGTAATCTTTAGGACTGATTCTGCTTTGGAAATGTGTTTGTCTAAATATGTTCCTATAAATGTTGTTCTAGATAATCCCTTCTACTTTTATTTTATTTTATTTTGCATCTGTTATTATTCAGTCTGTTAGCTTTTATTATAAATAAATATATGAAATGAAATAAATTTTCCTGTCACAATGGATATATATGACTTCCTGGTTCAGAGGTGGTTTCAACAGATGTCAAGAAACAAGAACAGGGGACAGCTGGTCTCTGTGTGCCTTCCCTATGGGCTTCCCAGAGGCATCTGATTGGCCACTGAAGGGAACATGTTGTCTGGACAGTTGGGCCTTTGGTCTGATCTAGCAGGGCTCTACTTACACAGAAAGAAGGACAAACTCAATAGTGGTTATTTTAGTTCTCAAGAAAGCTTTATTATCTCCCATGCAGTAGTGGAGACTGAAACAGGAAACTGTAGGGGCATACTGTCAATACCGCTTCAGCATAAATAAACATTTCTTTCTTTCTTGGACAATAAAACATTGAATATGCAATAACAAACCAACAAAATGAAATGCAGAAGATACAAGCAAGGGATTGTGACTGAGACTGAGGAGAAGGCATGCAACGTGCAAAGCTGTTCCACATTAAGGTGGGATTTCACATCAAGGAGAAATAAACTGGCACTTCGGTCTCATATTCCTTCCGGAAGAACACATTGTTGTAGAATGAAGCAAAGGACGTGGAAGCCTTTTACTTGTGGCTGGGTGGCCATTGGGAAGATTGCTTGGTCTGGGATAGGCCAGGTGGGAGGCAAACAGGTTGCTTTGTCTGCATGGAGCCCCCACTGGAACCTCCTCCAATGCAGCAGCCAGAACCTTGGCCACCTCCTCCACTACTGCCTCCTGATACAATAATGGTCTGACCACCTGAACCACCACCAGAACCTCCTCCAATGCAGCAGCCAGAGCTCTGGCCACCAGAGCCACCACCTCCTCCAATGTAGCCACCAGAGCTCTGGCCGCCACCACCGCCACTACTTCCACCACATGGGACTATGACGGTCTGGCCACCTGAGCCACCACCACCACCAGAACCTCCTCCAATGCAGCCACCAGAGCTCTGGCCACCTGAGCCACCACCACCTCCTCCAATGTAGCCGCCAGAGCTCTGGCCGCCACCGCCGCCACTACTTCCACCACATGGGACTATGATGGTCTGGCCACCTGAGCCACCACCACCAGAGCCTCCTCCAATGCAGCCACCAGAGCTCTGGCCACCTGAACCACCACCACCTCCTCCAATGTAGCCACCAGAGCTCTGGCCGCCACCGCCGCCACTACTTCCACCACATGGGACTATGATGGTCTGGCCACCTGAGCCACCACCAGAGCCTCCTCCAATGCAGCCACCAGAGCTCTGGCCACCTGAGCCACCACCACCTCCTCCAATGTAGCCGCCAGAGCTCTGGCCGCCACCGCCGCCACTACTTCCACCACATGGGACTATGATGGTCTGGCCACCTGAGCCACCACCACATGCCTCCTCCAATGCAGCCACCAGAGCTCTGGCCACCTGAGCCACCACCACCTCCTCCAATGTAGCCGCCAGAGCTCTGGCCGCCACCGCCGCCACTACTTCCACCACATGGGACTATGATGGTCTGGCCACCTGAGCCACCACCAGAGCCTCCTCCAATGCAGCCACCAGAGCTCTGGCCACCTGAGCCACCACCACCTCCTCCAATGTAGCCGCCAGAGCTCTGGCCGCCACCGCCGCCACTACTTCCACCACATGGGACTATGGTGATCTGGCCACCTGAGCCACCACCACCACCAGAACCTCCTCCAATGCTGCTGCCAGAGCTCTGGCCACCACAACCAATAGATTGACCACCCATTCCACCACCACCACCAGACCCTCCTCCCATGCTCTGGCCACCACTGCCCTGGCCACCACTGCCCTGGCCACCCCCTGATCCTATAATCTTAACTCCACCAGAGCTTCCACCTCCTCCTCCTCCTCCCCCTCCACCACCAGATCCCCCACCGATAATCTTAATTCCCCCAGAACTTCCTCCTCCTCCTCCTCCCCCTCCACCACCAGATCCCCCACCTATAATCTTAACTCCACCAGAGCTTCCACCTCCTCCTCCTCCTCCCCCTCCACCACCAGATCCCCCACCGATAATCTTAATTCCCCCAGAACTTCCTCCTCCTCCTCCTCCCCCTCCACCACCAGATCCCCCACCGATAATCTTAACTCCACCAGAGCTTCCACCTCCTCCACCTCCTCCTCCACCACCACCACCAGATCCCCCACCTATGATCTTAATTCCCCCAGAACTTCCACCTCCTCCTCCACCACCACCACCAGATCCCCCACCGATAATCTTAACTCCACCAGAGCTTCCACCTCCTCCACCTCCTCCTCCACCACCACCACCAGATCCCCCACCGATAATCTTAACTCCACCAGAGCTTCCACCTCCTCCACCTCCTCCTCCACCACCACCACCAGATCCCCCACCTATAATCTTAATTCCCCCAGAACTTCCACCTCCTCCTCCACCACCACCACCAGATCCCCCACCGATAATCTTAATTCCCCCAGAACTTCCTCCTCCTCCTCCCCCTCCACCACCAGATCCCCCACCTATAACCTTAATTCCACCGGAGCTTCCACCTCCTCCTCCCCCTCCCCCTCCACCGCCAGATCCCCCACCAATAATTTTAACACCTCCTGATCCTCCTCCACCCCCACTGCTACCCCCTCCACAGCATATCCCTCCTCCACCACCAGATCCGCCGCTCATGTATGGGATCTTCTGCTGGCTCATTCCACCCCCCTGTCCCCCACCAGATCCTCCTCCGATGCAGCATCCTGAAGACTGTCCACCAATGCTGCCTCCTCCACCACTTGATCCTCCTCCACAGCAGCCTTGTCCGCCTCCGCCTCCGCCACCTGAGACAATGATGATCTTCTGGCCGCCTCCACCACCGCTGCTGCCTCCTCCACCACCGCCTCCGCCACAACAGCAACAGCAGCCTGATGACCCTCCTTGGCCTTGATAGCTGATGGAACCTCCTCCACTACTTCCACAGCATGAGCCGCCACCTCCACCGCCGCCGCCACCTCCTCCACCTCCTCCTCCACAGCAGGAGCCACCACCCTGCTTCTGCTGCATAGAACTCATCTTCCTATGTTGGTGTGGAGCGTGTTCTTTCTCCTGTTTTGTTTCCCTTCTGGTGGTTTAGCTCTGGAAGATAAGTAAGACAAAATCAGCCTTTCATGCACCAACAACCTTCCAAGGGTTCACATGGCAATGGGAAGAAGAGTCAGGAGCAAAAGTGGGAGGGGCAGCAAAGGCAAATTTCACCTTTGTGCAGTAGGCTGGTTTCTGCACACACTCCCAAACCACTCCCTGTTCTCCATTCAGGCACACAAGAAGCATCCCCAGAGCTCAAGGAGACTTTTCATCCAGACAGCAACAGGGAGCATATGATGGAGGTAATGGCATTGTAATATGGCAAAGCCAATTGTATCCGAGATTTTGTACCGAAATCTCAAAGGGGCATGCAAATCCAAACAAAAAGGAATCAATGTAAGAAATGCAATATGAATTCCAGTGTCAAAACCAAACTGCTTCTGCGAATTGATTACTGATTCACTCATTGAAAATGAAATGCCTAGACAGTGCTACTTCTGGTTAAGAACTGGTTCCGGAGGTCCGTTCTTAACCAAAACTGTTCTTAACCTGAGGTACCACTTTAGCTAATGGGGCCTCCCACTGCCACCGTGCCACCAGAGCATGATTTCTGTTCTCTTCCTGAAGCAAAGTTCTTAACCTGAGGTACTATTTCTGGGTTAGCAGTCTGTAACCTGAAGTACCTGTAACCTGAGGTACCATTGTACAGAGTTATGGCGGCAACCTCTAAATGGAGCATTGAATTTGGTTTCAAAATCAAATCTGTGGTGCATCTGTGTCTATTTGCTAACCCTATACATAACTGCTTCTTTACTTTGCACTAGAAATATATTATCATATATAAATTTCTCTTAAGCAGTCGTTGATTGCATCAAAACCCATTCTCTAAAACATCCTCTTGCACAACCAGAAGCTATCGTTTTATAATTAGTTCATCTTCCATTTTCAACTCCAGCTGAATGACTTAGTTCTGTTATCGGTCAAATGCATGCAAGCATACGGACTTGACTTACCCTCTCCAGCAACAGGAACCAGCCGAGAAGTTGAAAGTGAGTGAATGAAGACATCATTGGGTCCAGATAACTTTTTATACCATCTCAAGGCCTCTCCTACGGGATATGATACACCCCTGGGCATGATGACTTGCATATTTACTCCCTGCCTAATGACTGGACTTTCTAGTCTTAGATGCATAACAAAGGCAAGAGATTGACGTCTGTCATTGCTATAATTGTTGATAAATAAACATGATTAATTAATCATGAGCTCCACCTAATTCCTTGGCTAAATGCAGCCTGTTTGAGGCAGTGAAAGAGTCCTTGCAGGTGTGCCAGAAATGTGTAAACCCAGTCCCCTTATTTCCATAATAAAAACAACAATAATTTTATTACTTAAATGCCACCCATGTGACTAGGTTGCCCCAGTCACTTTGGGCGGCTCCCAACAGAATATTGCTACTAGAATTGAGCAAAATACGGTTTCTCTTTCTCTTTCTCTTTATTTATTTGCCAAAAGATATAAAAAGGTTTATATCCAATACACCAGAATAAAAGAAATAATTTTAAAATCTAAAATGGAACAGGAGCAAAGAAAAGGGAGAGGGGAAGAGGAGGGGGAAGAAAAGAAAGAAAAATGAAAAAAGAGAGAAAAGAAAGGAAATAGAAAAAAGATTTTAAAAGTCGGCTAAATTTAATATTCACTCATTGACACCCAACTGTTCTATTTTCTATAAGCCAATATTTTTTTAATCTTCAAATCCAAATATTACAAGTTCATTTTCTCTTTCATGCATAAAGTCCATAAGACATTTCCAATTCTTAAACGTAAAGGGACCCCTGACCATTAGGTCCAGGGGTTGCGGCGCTCATCTCGCTTTATTGGCTGAGGGAGCCAGCGTACAGCTTCCGGGTCATGTGGCCAGCATGACTAAGCCACTTCTGGCGAATCAGAGCAGTGCACAGAAACACCATTTACCTTCCCACCTGAGTGGTACCTATTTATCTACTTGCACTTTGACATGCTTTCGAACTGCTAGGTTGGCAGGAGCAGGGACCAAACAATGGGAGCTCACCTCGTTGCGGGGATTTGGACCACCGACCTTCTGATCGGCAAGTCCTAGCCTCAGTGGTTTAATCCACAGCACCACCCGCGTCCCTCCTTCCAATTCTTAATAAAGGTCAATAATGATTTTTCTCAAATTACGCATTAACTTTGCCATCTCACCTAAGTCCAATAATTTTATCAGTCATTCTTCCGTAGTAGGTAGAACTGTGTCTTTCCAACTTTGTGAGTACAACAATCTTGCTGATGTAATCATATATTGGAATAATCTTCCATAAACCTTTCCAATCATGTATCCATTAATCCTAAAAGAAAAAGGTTCTGGCTTCAATTGGATATTAATCTTTAAAAATCTTCTCTTTCAATGTATGTATTTGTATTTTTAGCCTTTTCACATGTCCACCAAGCACGAGCAAATGTCTCCTCATGTTCTTGGCACTTCCAGAAAATACCTGAAACACTTTTGCATATTCTAAACAATTTCTCAGGAGTTAAATAAAAATGATGCATCATTTTATAAAAGTTCTCTTTGACATTATAACACAACGTAAATTTTAACCCTTTAGTCCGCATATACTCCCCCTGTTCCATCTGTATATTATAACAAAAATATTTTGCCCAATTAATAATACGTTCTTTAACTTGTTCTTCTTCGGCTTTGAATTTCAACAAAAGTTTATACATCTTTGCAGCAAGATGTTCATCTTCTGCTCTCAGTTAAGTTTCAAAGCCGGTCTTTCCTTGTTCTATATCTATACCAAATGTGTTTTAATCCAATTTAAACCTCTCTGCTAATGGCATATAAGAAAATCACCGAAAATTATAACCTTCCTCTATTAGCTGTTGTCTTCTTTTAATTTTATAATCTCCTTGATGCAATTTTAAAAATTCTTGGCACGTTGTACATTTCTCTTTGCATTTTATCTCTTTTCTGTAGGAAGCTTCTTGTGATAAGATCCATAACGGTGTCTTTGGACACAATCCAGGTTTGTATTCATTCCAAATTATTAATATGGCACATATAGTAAAGTGATTTTTAAAGTCCACTTTAACTTTGTGGTGCCACAAATATCCACGCCATCCAAACTTTAGGTCATGTCCCTATGTTCCCAGGAGTCTCTTATTTCTCAATCTCATCCAGTCCTGCATCCACACTAAAAACAGGCTGCAAAATACAGTTTAAGGTTTGGTACACCAATCCTCCCTTTTCCTTTGCATCTTCTAATATTTTAAAACATGGTGTTGTCCCTCCCCCCTCCAAACCTTGATAAGTCTTTTTGCCATTGTTTGAATGGTACTGTAAGTCATTAGCTGTAATGGAACAAAAACATCATTCTGTGCAATATAGTCATCTTTATCACAAAAATTCTACCCACCAAGGACAATATTAATTTTTCCCAACATATCTTTTTAATTTCCATCCATGTCTTAACATAATTATTTTGAAACAACATACAATTTGTATTTGTCATGGTAATACCCAAATACTTTACTTTGTTCCAATTTGAAATTCAGTTTTCTCCATTAAAGTCTTTTGATCTTCTGTTGTCATATGTTGTATTCTTGGGTTTTTTGATGATTAACCTTAAAACCTGCTAGCATGCCAAATTCATTTAAATTAGCAGAGTACAATTATTCCCACTTTTTTCTTTCTTTCATGAACAGGACTTTGTTACTTAACTGATTTGTATCTATATTTGTTACTTTGCTCATTTGTATCTCTATTCATTTTAAATTCCTTTTCACCTGTTCTTATAATTGTTTATATACAGTCGTACCTTGGAAGTTGAACGGAATCCATTCTGGAAGTCCGTTTGACTTTCAAAACGTTTGAAAACCAAAGTGCGGCTTCTGATTGGCTGCAGGTAGCTCCTGCAGCCAATCTGAAGCCACGGAAGCCCCGTCGGATGTTCGGCTTCCAAAAATAGTTCACAAACCAGAACAGTCACTTCCAGATTTGCGACGTTTGGGAGCCAAAACGTTCGAGAACTAAGCTGTTCAGAAACCAAGGTAAACGACTGTATATTATAAAATAGAACATATTTTTAAAATAAGTTTTCTGACTTTAAGGGATTTCCCCCTTCCAACCACCACTACCTTCAACTGATAACCAACATGGTTGAACACTTGGATGTACACTGTACCTGATGTACCTGATGTACACTTTCCGGTAAGAAAATGGCTGCAGATATCATCATGAATTTATATTGTGCCATCTATGCACATCAAACCTTAACTTCCGGAAGTACAGTGGAATATAGCATATGTTTAGTGCTCATTTCCAGTGTCCGGGGGGGGGGGGATGTGTTTGCAAATATGGAAATGAGCGCTAAGCTGTGGATCACGAGACTGAGATCAAACCAAGAACCCCTTGCCGTTTTGTATCTATATCTGTATATTACTTGACCAAAGGCCAGCCAAGTGCGTAGCGGAACCTTTGGAGATGATGGCTGGTATTTCCTTATAACTGCTATTAACGGAAAGGGCCTGATCAATCTGTTCTAATTCCTTCCAGGCGATATAATTGACTAATAAGAACCAACTAAGAATTCATTTCCACAAATTAAAGGAAGACAGTTCAATTATCATCCCCGTCAGAGTTTCTAAAGTACAGCTTGGGACAGAGAGAGAAAGAGGTTGATAAAGGTCAGGACATTAATTAGCCTTATTTTGCCTTTGCTGCATGCTGGTGTTTGTTTGTGGATTAGGAAATATAGACCAAGGCTCACAAGTAGGTGGCTGGGATGGATGGAAGATTGAGGAGAAGATTCCTGTGCAGCTGTTGGGTGTGTGGCCACAGATCAGCACCTAGAATGAGTCATAGAATGAGGGTCATCTAATCCAACCCCTTGCAATGCAGGAAGCTCAACTAAAGCTTCCATGCCAGATGGCTACCCAATCTCTGCTTAAAAACCACCAGTGAAGAACAGACCACCACCTTCCGATGGAGTCTGTTCCACTGTCCAACAGCTCTTACCACCCAAAAGTTATTCCTGATGTTTAGTCAGAATTGCCTTTCTTGTAACTTGAATGCACTGATCTGAGTCCTACCCTCCACAGTAGGAGAAAGCAAGCTTATTCCATCGTCCATGTGCCAGCCCTTGAGATATTTGAAGATGGCTATCAAATCTCCTCTCAGACTCTTTTCCAAGCTAAACATAACCAATTCCTTCAATTGGTCCTCATAATGATTGGTTTCCAGAACGTTTATCATCTTGGTTGCCCTCCCATGCACACAGTCCAGCTTCTCAATATCCTTCTTAAATTGTGGTGCCAAGAACTGAACACAGTACTCCAGGTGTGGTCTAAACAAGGCAGAATTGAGTGGGAAGATGACTTCACTTGATCTGGACACTATATTTTTGTTAATGCAGGCTAGAATAGCATTAGGGGTTTTTTTGTTTTGGGGTTTTTTTTTGCTTCTACCACACACTCTTGACTCCCCTGAAGCTTTTGGATTACTAAGATCCCTTAGCACTCTAGTTGTCCCCCATTTTATATTTGTGCAGCTGGTTCTTCCTGCCTAGGTGAAGAACCTGACATTTGCCCCTATTGAAATTCATTTTTGTTAGTTTGGGCCCAGTTCTCCAATCTGTTAGGTAAAGGTAAAGGGACCCCTGACCATTAGGTCCAGTCGTGGACAACTTTGGGGTTGTGGTGCTCATCTCACTTTTTTGGCCGAGGGAGCCAGCGTACAGCTTCTGGGTCACGTGGCCAGCAAGACTAAGCCACTTCTGGCAAACCAGAGCAGCGCATGGAAACACCGTTTACCTTCCCACCAGAGTGGTACCTATTTATCTACTTGCACTTTGATGTGCTTTCGAACTGCTAGGTTGGCAGGAGCAGGGACCGAGCAACGGGAGCTCACCCCATCGCAGGGATTCAAACTGCAGACCTTCTGATCGGCAAGCCCTAGGCTCTGTGGTTTAACCCACAGCACCATCCGCGTCCCTATTGAAATTCATTTTTGTTAGTTTGGGCCCAGTTCTCCAATCTGTTAAGGTCAATTTAAATTCTGATTCTGTCTTTTCAGGCATTGGCTACCCCCCCCCTTTGATGTCATTTGCAAATTTGATGAGTATCCCCTCAGTTCCTTCATCTGAGTTATTTATAAAGATACTGAACACCTATGGGCCCAGGACAGAACCCTGTGGCACCCCACTTGTCACTTTTTTCCAGGATGGTGAGGAACCATTAGAGAACACTATTTGGGTTTGGTCAATTAATAGCTGGAAATCTACCTAACAATAACTTTGTCCAGCCCACATTTTAATGGCTTCTCAGCAAGAATAAAATGGGGCACTTTGTCAAAAGCCTTACAGTGGTACCTCGGGTTAAGAACTTAATTCATTCTGGAGGTCCATTCTTAACCTGAAACTGTTCTTAACCCGAGGTACCACTTTAGCTAATGGGGCGTTCCGCTGCCGCTGCACGATTTCTGTTCTTATCCTGAAGCAAAGTTCTTAATCCGAGGTACTATTTCTTGGTTAGTGGAGTCTGTAACCTGAAGCGTCTGTAACCTGAGGTACCACTGTACTGAAAGGAAGATAAACTATGTCAACAGCCACTATGTCAGGTATCTGAAAAAGTGTGCCTGCACACAAAAGCTTATACCCAGAACAAACTTAGTTGGTCTCTAAGGTGCTCCTGGACATATTTTTTTTAAAAAAATATTTATTTATTATTTTGACTGCGTCAGACCAACACGGCTACCTACCTGAATCTATGTCAACAGCATTACTGATCCACTAAGTTTTTAACTCTATCCAAAAAGTAAATAAGTTTTTGAGAAACGTATGTTGGGTCTTAGTAATCACAACATCCTTTTCCGAGTGCTAACAGACCAACCATTTAATTATATGTTCTATGTCAGGGACGTGGCTGAATTGAATGCCTGGGAAGAGTCCTACACTGGAGATGAAGGATTGCTAGTACAAAGAGCGTCAGAGTCTGACCCTGGAGATGAAAGAATGCAGACAGAGCAGGTGTGGGTGAGCTCAGCCCCCCTTCACCAAGAGTTCCCTGACTCAGCTGGAGCAGCAGACTTGGACAGCTCACAAGAAGGGGGGGAGAGTTAGATGGCAGTGAGGGGGTTGCTATGCAACCAGCAGAGAAACAGAGTGCGGAGGGTTCTTCTTTTGAAAGCGCGGGGGGAGAGCTGAAAGGGTTAAAATGCAATGGAAGAGGAAGGACTGGACTTTGGCACCCTTTTTGCTGTAACAGGGGTGGAGACTCAGAGTGACCAACTCGTATCAAAGTGTGGCAGGTTGGGAGCCACGCTTTGGATGTAATTTATAAATAAACTTACTATAAAACTGCCAGAGAGTCGTTAATTCTTATCTGGGCTTGCTTGCCTGCCTGAGATCATTACATTCTAGGACCTTTCCTGATATCAACGGCAACGTGTTACCTGGGTCTTCTCCCTGCCCCCTCAAATTTTAGTTTAAAGCAGTCCTGATCAAATTGCTAGAGCATATAGATAAAAGCCATACATCAGTAACTTCCTCAGCACCTTAGAGGGGAAAGACACTCATTTCCATAAAACAGGGGGAAGTGTTGTGTGAGCATGCAAAAGGAAAGCTCTCTGTACCATTTTTAAAAATTCATTTTGCATTTATATCCCACCTTTCTCTCAAAGGAGACACACATGGTTTGGGGGCTGCATCTGGGGCCCCAAACATTTTTTATCCTGCTTTATTTCCCCCTGAGAACATGCTGTTTTTTGTGGTGGCACTGGGGGATATATATACAGTGGGGAACCTGTGGCTCCAGATGCTGTTAGACTACAAATCCCATCACTCATAGCCATTGGCCATGCTGACGGGAACTGATGGAAGCTGCAATCCAACAATACCTGAAGGTCTACAGCAGCGGTTCTCAAGCTATGGGTCCCCAGATGCTGTTGGACTACAACTCCCATCATCCTCTGGCCTTGCTAGCTAGGGCTGATGGGAGTTGTAGTTCAACAAAATCTGGGGACTCACAGCTTGAGAAAGGCTGGTCTATAGGCTTAAGATGAGAAACTTACAGCTCTCTAGTTATTTATTGGACTCCAGTTCCCATCAGTCCCATTCCAACATGGCAAATGGACAAGGGTGATGGGAGTTGGAGACTGACAACAGCTAGAGAGCTTTAGACACATCCCAAATGTAGAGGAATGTGCATGAATCTTAAGATGCCACAAAGCGGCTCCATGCAAACTGCCCATAGTTACACACCCTGCAGCTGCTGCTGTTTATTTTGAAATGCCCATTACCTGTTATAGGGCAGTGATGTAACAAGGTTCATTTCAGGCAAGCAGGCGAGACAGAAAACCTTCTGACTCATACAGTTGGCTGCAGACACCTTTGTCAGTTTTCTTTAGATGAACCAGAAGAAAGGTTTCAGTTACGGAGCATAATGTAAGAACACTGGAAGAGACCAGCTAAATTAGCAGGAATGGTCCATGTCTCTCAGCATCCAGGTTCTCACAGTGGCCAATCAGATTCCTCTAGGGAGGCACCCTCCTTTCTATCCCCCCCCCCCCCAATTAGCACTGAAAAGTGAACAGTCACTGAGAGTTCCAATTACCATACTTTTCGCTCTATAAGATGCACCAGACCACAAGATGCACCTAGTTTTTGGAGGAGGAAAACAAGAAAAAAAATATTCTGAATCTCAGAAGCCAGAACAGCAAGAGGGATCGCTGTGCAGTGAAAGCAGCAATCCCTCTTACTGTTCTGGCTTCTGGGATAGCTGTGCAGCCTGCATTCACTCCATAAGACGCACACACATTTCCCCTTACTTTTTAGGAGGGTAAAAGTGAGTCTTATAGAGCAAAAAATACGGTACTTACCATGGTCAATAGCTATTGAAAAACCATGAATTAGTATAATCCTATTTTAAAGCCATTTAAGGTTGGTCTATGGGATCATGAAGAGTCGGACACAACTAAACAACAAGGTGAATTCATTAGCATGCCTTGGCCCAGCAGATTTCATAAGTGAAGGTTGGTGCTTATGGTGATAATGATCATTAATTACCCGCCTTTCAAACCAAGGTCACATGGCAGGTTACAACAATTAATGCACAATGTTAAGAATACTTAAAAACAACTTAGAATCATCTAAATAAGGTGGATCCTAAAAAATATGCATATTGCATGTCAAGAAGGCCCTTTGCCTTGTTATCTGTAACTTCACTTCTTGCAGTGAGGGAACCACTAGGAGGTCCTCAGATCTAGATCTCAGTGTCTAGGCTATGGTTTTTGTTATACCATGAGCCCCCATTCATTCGCCTAATTGTTTAGCTAAAAGGATTCAATTTCCTTCGATTTGTGATGCTAGCCCCCTAGTGCACAACAGGTGTGTTATTTAATTGCCCAAGCATTTTATGGAGGCACAGGGAGAGTTCTCATCCAGAGCAGTTAGGAAAGAACACTACATATAAGCATATGTACAGTTAAATGAGTCATTGTGGCAGATCCTTTAGTCTAACCAGTATGGTCATTTATCCATCTCAGTATTTTGCATGTGTCTCATCCCAGATTTATGTGCGATCTGAATTTCAGGAACTACTAGCAGAGTCAGCAAGGTTTGTGAATGTGGTGCAAGGAAGCAGATCATTGAATGGAATGGAATGTGTATCAAGATTCTGCATTTAAAGTGTACAGGCACATAAAGCATAGACAGACATATTCATTTTAATAATCAAGGAAAAGATTTCCACTAGCAGCAGAATGGTTTCTCTCTCCTTCCACATAGCTACTCCACCAAGAGCCAGTGTGGTGTAGCAGTTAGCGTGCCAGACCTGAGAGACCAGGGTTCAAATCCTGCTGTCAGGAGCCAGAGTCAAGCACAGGTCAGCCAAAGAGCCAACACGGTGTCAGTGAAGTTAACTCTTTATTCAAGAAACCAAAACAGCACAGGCCTAGTGATTCCAACAATTCCAGTAGATCTTGCCCCAAAGTGGCAGTTGTGAGGGTCCCTGCGTTCCCACCACTCTCAAGGCTTGTGTACAACTAAACTCTGCCCTTTTCATTTATTTGCATGTTTTACCGGACCGGGGGGGGGGGGAGGGCAGAGAGCTGATTGCAGCAGGAAGGGGAGACTCCCTGGATTTTTCAGCAGCCTGTCTCATCAATGCCTCTTGCCCCCTTTCCTTTCTAGTCACCTTTTCTGACTCTGAGCCTGGACTGCTCTCTGCCCCAGCCTCCTCCTGCTCACTAAACCCTGTTGCCCCTTTAGCTTCCAATCCCTCCTCTTCCCAGTCTTTTCCCTCTTCTCCCTCTGACCACTCATGTTCATCCCACCACCAGTCCCCTGGCTCTGAGCTTTCATCCCTTGGGGGTTCCCCAGCTCATACCTTTCACCTTTCCTCTTAATCAAGCCAGTCCATGACACACACAGTCATGATGCTCACTGAGTGTGACCTTAGACCAATTACTGCCTCTCACCCTAACCTATCTCGCAGGGTTGTTGTGTGGATTAAACGAGAAGGGCGAGAGCCAAGCATGCCATCTTGAACTCCATGAAGAAGAAGAAAAGTGAGATGTAAATGCAATTATTGGTTGCTTTATTTATTTTAAAAATAAATAAATTTGTAACACCTGCTATTCTGCCTCACCTACTTAGGGATTTCTCATTACTCAAGTTTACCTGTGCCTGGTCTGTTTGTTTGCTTAATCCATGTTCTTCAGTCTTGCTTAACACCATATTATCAGTGAGCACCTGATCTGTCACACATAATTTATGCTGTGTTTCTTACAAATGTCTCATGGAGTTGTTGACCAGATATATATAAATTGTATTATATTTTGTGCATGTAACTAACTGCTCAACGTACCTGGAAGAGCTGTCAACAAACACACATGTAACAGTTGTTCTCCACAGGATTTTCTTTTTACTTTTCTTTATATTTTCAACAAATCAAAAAGACTAGGGGCACTCTCTTTTTAATTTGAAATAGAAAATAGCAAAGGACCCAGACCCCACATGGACCACTTGAGCATGTGTGGGCTCATGTCCAAATTTATTTTGGAGGATACTGTCCCAAAAGGATTTTTCAAAATTTATCTCTTTAACTTCCCATGTCCTCCCAAAAAAATAAAGACACCACAAGGCAGAAAACCTCTTTGTTTCAATCTCAAGAGGACAGTGAATTATTTTCCACGAGAGGAATGACTTGTCAAATCATGAGTGGGTTTTTTATTATTATAAAATATCATGTTTTATGTTTTCTGCCAGAATGGAAAAGAGAAATAAGGACAATTGTGGTGTGGCGAAAGGCAAAGTGAGACCTGTATATTATGTAATATCTTGCAAGCCAATTGAGCATCAATGCTGGGTTATTTCTTCACAGTAGGCATTGGGGTTGCGAAGGAGAATTATGTGGATTTGGACTAATATCAGGAACATCAGAAGAGAAGAACTGGGCTGGACCAAAGGCCCATCTAGTCCCGTTTCCTGTTCTCACAGTGGCCGACCAGATGCCACAATGAAAATTCTGTAAGCAGGACCTGAGTTTTTAGTTATGAGCATGTGGAAAGGAAGCAGTCCACTTTTGACATTGCCCCCAGCAATTGCCTTCTCTCTTCTTAACTCCAGGAAATGTTATTTTGGATTCTGTGGACAGGATGGAGGTGCCTTCTTCTGTTGATCTTGGGGAGGTGAGCACGTTTTTGGTGGAGGGCAGTCAGCATCTTGCTTTGGTGGACATTTCTGTGGGTTGTCTTGGCATGGCTGTGGCTTGGTTGGGCACTGTGATTGCTGGGAAGACATCCTTCAGAGTGTTCTAAAAGAGATAGCAGAGATATTTTTTATTATTGCTTACAGTCTTATTCTGCCTGCCTTCCCTCCATCATGGAACATAAAGTAAGGTACATGTGGTTCTGGTTCCAATTGGTAATCTCACCACTGTATTCTGCACTACCTGCAGTTTCTCTACTGTCTCCAAAGGCAGACCCAAGCAGTTAACATTGCAGTAATCTAACCTAGAGTTTACCAGACCATAGACAACAAAAGCCAGGTTATTTATGTCCAGAAAGGGTCACAGATGGATGAATACTGCCATTACTGTTACTACTTATAACTGTACACTGGGCAAGATCAAGGTTTGAGGGGATCCTGTGCAAAGTGACCCATTGATGGGTCTTGATGGGATTCCCTGGCACTGGTAATAACCAGGAAAGCTCCAAGAAGCACCGATTGCCCAGTTCTAGGGGCTGATTTTTGATCTTTAGAAGCCCTGTGCAAAGTGCAGGACA